GAAGGGTTTTATCAGAAGAATCTTAAGAAAAAGATTGAGTTAATATACTGTGTAGCAGATGATTGAGACTTGAGAATAGATGAAAAAGTCATCATTCTCACTACAAGATTAGCAGCAGTATCTGTTATTAAAGATGAATGTATACAACATCTCTTTACAGATTTTAAGAATGTCTTTTTAAAAAGAGAAGCAGTGAAGTTTTCTGATATTAAGATATAACACAAGATTTATCTTGAAGACAGTGCAACAGTGCTATACAGATCTCTTTACAACTTGTCTGTAAAGAAATTGAATATTCTGTGTAAATATCTTGAAGAAGTACAATCAAAGAACTGAATACATTTATCAAAGAGTTCAGCAGAGACATCTATACTCTTTATACTTAAGAAGAATGATAGGCTATGTCTATGTGTAGACTACAGAGATCTCAATAAGATGACAGTTAAGAATTACTATTTATTACTGTTAATTAATGAGATGATTGATCAATTATCTAAAGCAAAGATGTTTTTAAAGATTGACATATAAAATGTCTATCATAGAATCAGGGTTAACAAAGATGATGTTTGAAAAACAGCTTTTCATATCAAGTACAGCAATTTTAAATATCTTGTTTTATCTTTTAATCTTTGTAACACTTCAGTCATCTTTCAGATCTATATAAATGAGATGCTGCAGAGCCTTGTCAATGTCTCCTGTATAGTATACTTAAACAACATTCTAATCTTCTCAAAAATGAAGAAAGAATATGATACTCATGTTTGAGAAGTGTTGAGTTACTTGAGACAGCATTAACTCTATATAAATACTGAAAAATGCTCATTCTACATACACAAGATTGATTTCTTAGATTATATTATTAAGATGAATGACATTTCAATGAATAGAAACTGAGTCTTTATCATTGAGAACTGACTGACACTGTGAATGTACTGTAAGATGCAGATGTTTCTAGAATTTGTGAATTTCTACAGACAATTCATCTATGCATATTCACAGATTACTGCCCCTCTTACAGATCTGTTAAAGAGAAGTGTGAAAGACAGGAAAATGAAACTGTTTATTCTCATTCAAGATGTCATGCAGGTGTTTGCAGAATTGAAACAAGCTTTCACAGATGTCATGATACTGAATCACTTTAATCTCAACTTACTCAGTCAGTGTGAGACTGATACATCTGAGAATGAGATCTGTGAAATCTTTTCACAGTTGACACTGAAGACCTTTCAATGTTAAAAGAATCAGAGAATAATCATCTCTGAGAAAACAGATAATGAATTGTCTGTAAGAGAAGACTTTTTCACAAAGTCTATAAGATACTGCAAATGAAGATCAGTGATCTTCTTCTTTAAAAAGTTATCACTCACACAGAGAAGATATGATACTTATAATCAGAAGATGTTAGCAATTGTTGAATTCTTTAAGATCTAGTAACATTATCTCTAGAGTAGTAAATACTCAGTGTAAGTTCTCACTGATCATGTAAATCTATGTTACTTCTTGATAACAAAGAGCTTGACAGAATGTCAAGCCAGGTGAACAGAGCTGCTTTCAGAGTATGATTTCTATATCTGATACTAGACTGGCCGCCAGGACCATGAATTTCACGTTTGGTCTCATTTGGTCTGGTCCCATACATTTCTTGGCGTGAATCCCGCTGGGACTGGCTATCAAAAAAACATGCAAAGTGACTATATATCAGATTTTAAAATGGGATCATGACTTGAAAAAAATGAGAAAGTGATCCCATTTGGTCCCATTTAGTTCCATTCTTGGCATAAAGTTACTATTTTTAGACATTTTAAGGTTTTTTTTAGACTATTTTTAATTTTTTAAAAAGTAATGCTTTTTGATAACGCTCAAATGAGATTTAAAGTCATTTAAAGCAATAAAAATAATTTAAATTGAGAAGTGGAAATCATGGTCTCATTTGGAAAATGTGACAAGAGTAGACAGTAAGTCTCACTGAGACAGTATGGGACTACTATCTAATGTTAGAACCGTGTAATGGGATCTGTCGAATTGACAATGGAACTATCAAAAATTCTGGTCCTGGTCTCAGACACGGTCACACGGTCAGTCTATCTGATACTATTCAGGTCAGCTTAATCTCACTGACACACTGTCTAGACAGTCTGATTATAATATTGTTAATACAAAGAAGAATTCTATAAAAGAATCTCTGTCATCACTGCAGAAGAAGCTGACTGCAGAGAATTAAGATTTTCTGAAACTCAGAAACAGCATCAGTAAGACAGCTGCATGACTCAGTATAGAAGGTGAAGAAAAACCCAGATCTCTGCAGAGAACTGACACTGAAGATCATAAGCTTCTCATGTTATATCTTACAATCATTGAATTGATAAAGAATAAAACAGTCTATAATCTTTCAATCTGACTACTTTTAAAATTTATTGATAAGTTATAGAAGAAGGACATCTCTACTACAGCTTAAATTCAGAAGTTAAAGAAGAAAGAGTTCAGTTTAAACTTGAAAGAGACAGACTCTGAGCAGAGTGATACTGCTAAGAAATCAAGTTACTGATAACTAGAAGAATATAAACTTCTACTGCTGAATAATTCAGTCTTCATCTCTCATAGTAGAGCAGTGTGTCAGAAGTTATTAAGAATTTATCATGATGATTCTCATATAGAGTACTTTAGATTAGAGAAGACTGAGAAGCTTCTAAAATATAAATACACTTAAGATAAGCTTTAAACAGATGTCAAAGAGTATATTAAGACTTGTAATATCTGTCAAAGAATAAAGATCTTATAGTATAAGTAATACAGTGAGTTGATATCACTGCCTGTTTCAAAGAGCTCATGACAGAATCTATTAATGAATTTCATAGTTAATCTACTGAAGTTGACAAGAGTCAAAGAATATGACTCAATTTTGATCATTGTTAATCACTTTATGAAGATGATCAGATATATCTCTATTTATAAAAAGATTAAAGCTCTTGAATTGACTGACCTGTTTTTAAATATCATCATTCATGATCACAGTGCTCTGAAATTATTAATAACAGATCAAGAATCCCTCTTCATCAGTAAATACTGATTGGCTTTTTGCTATTATCTTATAATAAGACATCTTCTCAGTACTGCATTTCATTCACAGACAGATGATCAGACTGAATACCAGAATCAGACACTAGAATAGCATCTTCAAGTATTCTATTCATATTATTAGAATGATTGACTCAAACATCTTCTGATCACTGAATTCACATATAACAATACAAAGAATACAATCTTAAAGATATCTTCTTTCTATACTTATTATGAATATAATTCTTCATTACTCAGTGACATTGCAGACAATATTTCAAAGAGAGAAATAGACAGTCAGAATGTTGAACAGATATAGAGAATAAAGTATCTCTCAGTATCAGAAGTAAAAGTGAGATTGAAACTTTTGAATAAAATTCATGAGAAGATGATGAAAAGCATTCATCACACTCAGAAGTGATAGATGAAATACTATAATTGAAAACATCTTTCAATGAAGTTCTTGATAGAGAATTAAGTGCTACTTTCAGCAAAGAATATCAAGATAATAAGACTGTTTAAGAAGCTTAGTAAGTAGTGACTAGAACCTTTCTCAGTAACAAGAGTGATGAGTAAGCAGACATATGAGTTGAAATTACTCACAGAATTGAAATCAATTCATTCTGTTTTTCACATTTTCTATTTGAAGCTCTATAAGTAACACTCTGAGATGAAGCTGTCTCAGCTGAATAGCATTGAGATTGAGAGTGATACTGAATATCTTATGAAGAAAATATTGAACAAGTGAACATATTATGACAAGCTTCAATATCTCATTAAATAAGAAGATTATTCATTATCAGAGAATTTATGAGAACTGCTTGAGTATTTGAAAAATACTGAGAAAGAGATTGTAAGCTATGAGATAGCTAGTAGAGACTGCTCTATTATATATTAGAGATATTAAGTAAGAAATACTGCTTAAGACTTCTCATTTTTTTCAAAGAATTTTTTAGAGATAATCTCACAGTGATGAGTCAGTGTCTTATAGACTCTGTAACACTCTTCTTCTATTTTCTCTCAGAGAGTTTTTTAGAAGTTTAATGAGACTACACAAGTGTAAAATTCCTGAAGCAGTTAGAAGAAAGAAATATTGAAAATTAATAAAAAAGATTAATATTATTGATCTGCAGGCTGCTACTATTCTAATAGAGTCACAGTCTGCTGAAAAAGTAAAAAGAGGAACCAGAGTTTACTTATTAATAATCACATTCTCATCAAACTCATTCTTCACTGTTGAAGTCTTCAGCACTGATATCTTTATCTGCTGAGAAGTTAGTACTACAGTGCTACAGAAGAGTATGAGAAATGTATAAAATATTAACTTATTAACTTACAAAATATCTCAGTTATCTGCTTTAACTGAAGTGAGATTCTCTTCAATTAGTAATTGATCTCTGTAATACTTTCAACAGCAGTACTGACTAATCTCTTCTTAGAGTCAGTTATTCTGAGATGTTTTTTCACCTCAGAGACTCATACTTTCATCTCTTTTTACAGACAAGTAAGAAGAATCTTCTCAGTCTTGATGAAATTCATCAATACTTAAAGCTCTGAGACTCTCACTCTGTACTGATTGAGTACTTAGACTTCTTATCAGAGCTGATATAACATCTTTCTGTGAAGTAATACTTACAGAGAGATAGAAGTCATTGTTACAGATATAATGAAAATAATAAGAGTAAGAGAAGAGATAAGTATATAAAATCCTCTCTTTCTTCAGCTGCTTAGCACAGCACAGACAAGTAGCAGTGTCAGTCAGAGACTGTATCAGAGCCTTCTCATAGAGAGAAGATGAAGAAACTGCAGAACTCTGTGAACTCAACTCAGCAGCATTCTGAGCAGAGCTCAGATGTGCTGTGAAAGAGAAACTACAGATTAAGCTTCTCAGAGTCACTGTTCTCAGAATCAAGCTCTTCTCAGATTTCTCTCTGAATGACTACATGAGGTTATACATCATTATATTAGCTGAGAAGAGGGGTGATGTTGCAATGATGATGAGAGAAGCAGAGAAAGAACTGAACACAGATGAACTAACTAGCAGAAGAGATGACATCTCACTGCAAGACACAGTGACTATCACTGCAGCTGCAAGAGAAGTAGAAGAAGAAGAAGAAGAAGATGTGATAATAAGAGTGATGCTTCTGCAGTTCATCAACACTGCTGTCTTCACCTTCAACTGAGCTTTCTTGACAGTTACAGAGACTGCAGTCACATCATGAAGATGTTTACTCACTAGAAAATGTCAGAATAAGTTCTTAATTATTCTTCAAGAATAATACTCTCATGCACTCACTGTTGCAACTGAGAAGAGAGGAAAAGAAAAATGTTTCATGAGAGAGAGAATCTTTTTAAAAAATCCTGTCACTACTGTTAGCTTTGCCTCTAAAACACACCACTTTTACAGGGAATTTCATATGTAAGATGGAATATGATGAGAGATCTGCAAGTCACTTGTTAACTACATTTTCCACATTTTAAATTGATATATAAGGAACTCACTTATCATGTGTTTAATTTGAATGAAGATGAGTAAAGAAAGACCTACACAGTCAGTAGAAAAACTCATCTATTTCTTTGTATCACATGCAGCACATGCACTGTCAATTGATTAGTAACTGTTGCTATACAACAAAGATAACTTCTAATCTGGTAATCTTGAGAACATAGAGACTATGCTCTTAAAGAGAAGAGTATTATCATGCTTTCAGCCATGTCAAGACCTTATTGTGATTTCACACAGCTCATCACTTTCATGCAGATGATTTCATCTCATTTGAACTGGTTTTCAACCACTCTATGACATCATTCAGATATATCATAGAAAGATTTAATTGATGAATATAAGAACTCTGCTTCTATATGAGATCAGCAGATTACTTTTCCTTGACAGTGAGACACTGCTGAGGTATTACTTCAGCTATTCTCACTTATAAAATGAGAGAAGGTATTCACTCATTATCTATATAGAATAGCTAGATGCTGGCTTCTCATGAAAAAAGTCAGTGATTTATTTTTCTTCTACTGAAATATATACAAGAGTTACTACATGCTTTATACAATCTTCTTAGTATACTACGTATCATATCTGTGATATTCTTGCAATAACTCTGTAGCCTACGAGCTTGCTATTCAAGCAAGATAGTCAAGCTCACTTATATGACTTCTCAAACAACTACCTCTATGTGACGCCGCCGACTAGCCACTGCTTCAGTTCCGCCACATTACACAAGCACTCAACAAGCTTACAATCAAGAATGAATATTCACTGTCATGAATTCAACAACAGTTGAATATGGTTGAAAACACTCAATATCTATTGAAGATTGATCTTCTCTCAGAATACTGACAGATCTGTGTAGATGAACTGTCAGTTCTGTGAACCATGTTTAATACACAATAAGAGAAGTTCAAATTCCTGGCAATGTCATTCAGTCTGATAAATGCATCTGTCATCTTTCAAATAATGATGAATACAATTCTTCATAAACAGAATGAAATCTCATGTCTCATATATCTTGATGATATTCTAGTCTTTTCAAACTCATACAATGAACATCTGAAGCATCTTGATAAAGTGCTTATAACTCTGACAGAGTATAAGCTCTATATCAAATCAATCAAGTATGTGTTTGAAATGAAAGAGTTGAAGTTTGTAGAACATGTAGTGAGTGATAACTATATACATCTTATCTCAGAGAAATTGAATGTTATAGCAAATTGATCATGGCTGAGAAATGTATATTATGTATAACAGTTTCCTGAGTTGATCTCATACTACTGCAAATTCATCAAGGATTTCACATGAATATCTGCATCACTCTCAGATCTCTTAAGAGAAATAAATGTAAATCTGTGAAAGAAGAAGTTTCATTTAATCATCTGAAATGCTGTGTGTGAAGAGGCTTTTCTCACACTGAGAGAATGTATAACAACATTCTCAGTGCTTATTTAATCAGATTGTGATAAACCTTTCTATATCAAGACAGATGCATCTGAATGAGCTATCAGAGACACTCTTCTACAGATGAGCAAGAACAGCAAGCTGCACTCAGTAGTATATAATGATAGAAAACTATCAGGCACTGAGCTTAATTACTCAGTGCATGAAAAGAAATTGCTAGTAATCAAGCACACACTGATGTTATAAGATAGATATATTAATAACAGGCATATGATAATAGTGATCACAGATCATGAAAGTCTTATCTATCTACAATTAATAACAAAACCTTTCAAATGCTTAGTATGTTGAATCTCAGAGTTTCAAGTATATAATCTTTATATAAAATACTGAAAGAGATTGAATGCTGTGATATCTGATGTAATCAGTTACAGATCTGATTTCATGAGTGAGAGTTCTACAAATCAGGCACAAGAAATGTTCATATTAAACACACTGAGAAAATGCAAGAAATCAGAATGAGTGAATACTATAATCTCTTGCTTAAAGAATGACAAGATGTCAGATGATAAGTGTTTTATAAAAGTAATAGAAGAGATACTTCTGAACTTCAAGCTGAGAAAATTGAAAAATGATGTTGTGCTTTACTGTGATCTAGAATATGCAGAAGCTCTCTATCTAGAATCTTCATTTAGATGTGACTTAATGACTTACATGCACAAGGAATTCAGTCACTTAGAAAGCTCTGAACTCATGAGTGTACTCAAATCAAGAGCATACTGATTAAGCATGGCCAAGGACATTCAGATGTACACTTATGAGTGCCTGAATTGCCAGATCATGAAAGAATCTAAGAAAGAGTTAGAATGTGAGAAAGTATAACATCAGATAAAGTGTACAATACAACTGTTTGAATGATGAGAGATGAATCTCATAGACATATTACTATGAACATCAAATGAAAATTAATCAATAATCACTGCTATTGATTATACTACTGACTGATCAGTTGTGAAAGCAGTTTCAGAGATAATAGAGAAGATGATGATGAAGTTCCTATAAAATAAGATCTATGTCAACTATGAAATGCTGTGTGAGATTCTAACTGATAATGATGTGAATCTCATAGAAGAAGTAGTGAGGCATTTCATGAGCCAGTTACAGATAGACTGACTGTGTAACCGTGTCTGAAACCAGGATCAAACTTTACAGTTATCATGTTGCCTAAAAGCATTACTTCTGATCATGATTTATGTTTATTACATTAATTTCAAATCATGTTATTTCAAATATTAAAGATTTCAGATTCACTTTTCAAATAAAAATCTAGTTCTGAATAAAGAATATGTTTGAATTCTTAGTCACATTTTCATTCTAATCTTATTATTGAGAAGAACACTAAATAAGACTATGAAATCACTTCTCACTTACATAATATCATAACATAGTACTCATTTGTTGAAAATTCAACAGAGAGTATTATTAAATATCATTACTTTTCTAAATATAGATTATAATTCATATAATGTTAATTATAAAAAAAATATAAAATACAAAAAAAAAACAAAAAATAAAAAATAAAATAAAAACAAGAAAAAATCAGAATGAATAAAAAAAAAAAAAAAAAAAAAAGAGAAGGAAAAAAAAAAAGAAAAAGAAAAAAAAAAAAAAAAAAAAATCAAGATTGCAGAGCTGCAGCACTTTTAAAATACTCACTTCTCAGAGTCTTCATAATATTCATCACTAACTGTGTATCTCTCACAGTGAGAGTAACACAGCTGCAATGAGTCATTGTCTTAATATTATCTAATAAATAATCAGTATATATCTGTATAAATGTGAATATTTAAAAAATATACACTTAAAAAGTGTGGTCAGAGTGAACTCTGCTGCTACTTGAATAACATTAAGAACAGAACACTGAAATTAATGATTTCTCACATTAATTTCACAGATAAGATAGATGAAGATAATCTTGAGAAATATAAAATTCTCTGACTTTTGATAAAAATGAATCTCATGAAGAGACTCTATTTTCATGATATCAGAGACTGAGTGTTATTAAAAAGTGTTACTTTTATACAATGTACATACACTTACTGCAACAATTCACTCTCTGCACATATGACTAAGAGTTACAGCTTTCTCACATCACACAGCTCTCTCTGAGATGCTGATACTGGTTTATAACTCATGCAGTCTCTCAGTTCAGCACATGCTGTATATATACAGCTCTGTGTGCTGAGGCTGTGTTAATCATTATGACCTGATGTGATACTTGCTTTTCACGGGCCATGTTTTATTTGAGAAGAAGAGGAAGACACAACTGTGATTTTATTAAAAGAGAATGAATAATTAGTAATATTGAATATAATTTAATTCTTCTACATTTAAAATTTGATTAGTCTATACTCTTCAATTTGAGGATTTCTAAGAGTGTTTTAATAGTTTTCATACTGGCTTGAACTTAGTGATGAGTTGAAGAAGAAGAGAAAAGAGAGAAGAAAGAAATAAGAATAACTTATCTTTATAATATAAAAATAGAGAATCACTGCAATCATTCTCTCTAGTAATAAAGATCTGTTTTCTGCATGTATCTCTGATATAGATTATATGATAACTGTATACAAAGAATATCAACACTGCATGTATTGAATGAAGATGATATTACTATACAACACTGTAGCTGTTTTCATATATCTCTGAAAGCTGTTAATATTTTCTTTATCTTTTTATATTTGATAAGTCAGTAATATATTTCAATGCACTTTTCCTTTCATCATCATCATCATCATCATCATCACTATCATCATCATCATTATCATTATTAACATTATTACTATTATCATCACTATTATCATTATTATCATTATCATCATTATTATTATTATTATATTATTTCTGGCCGTCTCTTCTGCCTCTACTTCTCTTCAACACTTATTAAAATCAATCATGTTATTTCTCTTCAAATATTCTGCGGTCCTGCGAATCATCAAGACGCGTGAGCGCCATCACAGATTGAAGAGAGAGAAGAAGAAGACATTCAAGTGAGAGAAGACAGATCACAAGACATGTTATAATATCTTGAAGAGGCTCTGTAAGAGAGCAGAATAATAACAATTTTAAGTAACACTTCTGATAGATTTAGACTGAACTAAGTATAGAAATAATGCAGATAATACTGTCTGTGAGAGATTGAAGAAGAAGATAGTGAAGAGTCTTATACAGCAGCAGTGAGACCAGGAGAAGTTCTGAGAATAATTTGAGTTCAAGATAAAG